GCAATATCCTGATTTCGCTCGGGACTCTCGTAATGTGAGGCTTGGATTGGCCACTGATGGTTTTAACCCTTTTGGCAACATGAGCAACTCTTATAGTATGTGGCCTGTGATCTTGATGCCTTATAACCTGCCTCCCTGGAAATGTATGAGCGATCCATTCTTCATGATGTCATTGCTTATTCCAGGACTACAGGCACCTGGGAAGGAGATTGACGTATACTTGCGCCCGTTAATTGATGAGTTGAAAGAATTATGGGAAGGTGTTGTAACTTTTGATGCATGTAGCAAACAGACATTTCAAATGTGTGTTGCTATTATGTGGACCATAAATGATTTTCCTGCTTATGGTAACCTATTTGGATGGAGTACAAAAGGTTACAAGGCATGTCCCATTTGTAATTTTGATGCATTATCATAGCCATTAAGAAGCAAAATTGGCTATACAGGCCATCGATGTTACTTGCCGCAAGATCACAACTGGCGACGAAGTAAGTTATTTAATGGTAAGATTGTGAAAAAATCAAAACCTTGTGAGTTATCGGGGCAAGAGATTTTAGATCAGTTGGAGTGTTTACCAAATGTGCAATTCGGGAAGCATCCAAACAATCGAAAAAGAAAGCGGTTATCTGAGGAACTTAATTGGACAAAGAAGAGCATTTTTTTTGAGTTACCGTATTGGCATGTACTTAAGATTCAACACAACCTTGATGTCATGCACATAGAAAAGAATATATGTGATAATTTTCTTGGCACGTTGTTGAGCATGGGGACGCATATGTAAAACCAGCTGCGTGGTACACTTTGTCTCCAAAAGAAAAACAAGAGTTCTGTGAATTTTTGAAATTAGTTAAGTATTCAGATGGATATGCAGCAAATATATTGAGGTCTGTGAGCACGAAGGATGGTAAGATATTAGGCTTGAAAAGTCATGATTTTCATGTTCTTCTGCAACAACTTATTCCACTTGGAATTTGTGGTTACTTGGACAAGGAAATTTGTACCACAATATTTGAGCTGGGAATTTTTTTTCAACAAATCTATGCAAAGACATTGATGGTAAAAGAATTGGATGCATTACAAGATAACATAATACTTACTCTTTTTAAGTTAGAAAAGATATTTGTTCCAGCATTCTTCGATGTTATGGTTCATTTAGCAGTTCACTTGCCAAGGAAAGCCAAGATTGTTGGACCAGTGCAGTATCGGTGGATGTACCTAGTGCAAATGTAATATATCCTTATTTCAGGTAACTTGCTTCTCATTTGGTTTTGTTATTATCTCCTTATATGTTTTGTGATTTACTAAAGGTATCTCAGAACTTTAAAAGGATATGTTCGTAATCGAGCTCGTACAAAAGGTTTAATTGCGGAGGCATATATTGTCAAAGAATGTCTTACATTTTGCTCGATGTATCTTAATGGTATCGAAACAGTTTTTAATCGCGAGGAACGAAATGTCGATCAAGTTGAAAATGTGCATGGGTTAGCTGTGTTCACCCAAAATGTTCGTCCTTTTGGGCGAATTACACGAGCAACTAAGGTCTCTCAATAAGAAAGAGAGATGACTCATTGGTTTGTCCTACATAATAGTCCCGAACTGGATTCGTATCTAGAGTATGTGTATGTTAAATATACATATTTGTTAGCATTCTTATTGTACTTTTTAATTGTTTAAAATTTGTTATATGTCAAATTTATGGTTTTATACGTAGGGAACACAAAAACATATTAGAGTTGGAAAGAAATGGTCACATCACTCGTCGCCACCAAGCAAAATTTCCCAAGTGGTTTGCAAAACGTGTAAGCTATACAAATTTAGAGTATAAGCATTATTTGCATTAGTTTGTAAAACCATAAAAACTGTCATATTCATGTGTGTAGATGAATCAATTACGAGGCGAAGGGTCACATGAAGCAACTGATGAATTATGGTCACTAGCAAACGGTCCTGATGTGACAATAAAATTGTACTCTGGAGCAATATGCAATGGTGTTCGATTCCACACTAAAGAGCATGACAATCATCGAAAAAGCCAAACGGTGGGGTAGTTGTAGAAGGAGAACATAATAACAAAACAATTAACTCCTACGGATACTTAAATAAGGTGTGGGAGATGAGTTACTTATTTGGCCATCGTATTTTTTTGTTCCAATGTGAATAGTTCAACCTTGGTAGTGGGAAAACAGTTCAGACTGATGCTCATTTTACAAGCACTAATGTAAAAAGTAAATGGTATCAAAATGACCCTTTTGTCCTACCTAATCAAGTGAAACAAGTATTTTATGTTAATGACACAAAATTGGGTAGGGATTGGAAAGTTGTGCAACACATACATCATCGAGGAATATGGGATGTTCCTGATTTGGAAGATGTAGAAATTAGTGAAAATAGATCGTATGTTCCAAGTGCGCCTTCCAAGAGGATGAATCAACAGAGATTGCTCCGGTAGTGGTTGAAGATAACGAAATATGTCAACTTCATAGAACTGATCTTGATCCAGAAATCATTCCTCGAGATCGAATTGTCCAGTGGGGAAGCAAAGAAGACAATAACATTAATGATTTCATATGTGATGACAATGATGTGACACAAGGGAGTATGTCGATTCAGAAGAAGATGATGATGTGCATTCCCATTTTGATTCTGATGAAGAGTCAGATATGTAGATGAATTATTAAGATATTTTCATGGTAATTAATAAATTATGACTTATATAATTGGTATACTTAGATATTGTCGATATAATTTATATATTTCTTTATGTAAGGTGTTTTATATATATAGGACCCGATCGCCGACCCACTACAACAACTAGTAAGGTTGCATCCTCTGAGACACGTACTAGGGGTGCATCCTCGATTGCACGTGTTGAAGTATCTTCTGATGCACCTACATCACAGCCTATATTGAGGGTAGCAGTACAGGTTTGATGCATACTTTACTTTGTAAACATATTTTTCTTACTATGGTGGGCTAACATCTATTATTAATGTTTGCGCAGCAGCTTCTACCACCAAGAAATGAGGTCAAGGACCATCTAGAGGGAAAAATGTTGAGCGTCTTCGTGCAGCTCACGGCCCCCTTGATGTCTTGATTCCTGATGGAGTCGGCGTTCCAGTGGGTGTAAATTCTGCAAAGGTAATGACAGAGATTGGCTTCCTGGCGAGGACGTTTTCCCCTATTAGAAATGTCCACAAATGGAAACAACTAACAGAAAAGGAGAAGGCACCACTCATTGCACGATTGTTGGTTAGTGGATATATTTGTTTGGTTTCAACAATATATTTATTTGTGTATATTGTTACAACTTGTTGTAATTAATTTGAAAATTTTTATTATGTTGTAGACAAAGTTTAACATTAGAGACTATCATAAAAAAGTTGGTGTTACGAAGTCAATCGACAAAAAATTTGCTGCGAGGTATAGGGACCATCGATACCATATGCATATGTACTACAAGGATTTGGTTGACTCCGGTGTTGACCCAAAGAGCAAGCCATATGGTGATGTGAGTCAGGAGGATTGGGACTACATAATTGAAACACTTAACAAGGATTCAAAATTTGAGGTAACTTTAAATAGCTATGCAAATTAATATCCATTTTTTATTCCTAATTGTGTACTAATTATGTTCTTTGTATATAGGAAAAATCTAAGAAAAATGCGAAAAATCGTGTCAAATTGTCATACAACCACTCGATGGGTTCAAAGTCCTTTCAGGCTACCCTATATGAATGGGTGTTATATTTTAACATTTGCTTCCTAAATTTTAATATATAAGAAATTTATAAATTTGTGGATGATATTTTGATTAACTATAACAGAGGGACCCTACGAATGATGAGCCACCCCACATTGTTGAATTTTTTCACGATTCTCATGCGAACAAGAAGGGTGAGTGGGTTTCTGCTGAGGCAGAGTCAAGATATGTAAGTATTTCAAATAGTAGAAAATTATGTTTTTTTAAAATAAATTTTGTATTATACACTCACTAATTGGGTTTAAATATATTAAATTGTAGGAGCGAATGAAAGAATTGACCACACAGAACTTAGAAGAGGGTGTAGAACCATTGGCACAGGATGAAATTTCATGCACAATCCTTGGCAGTAGATCCGGATATAAAAAAGGATTTGGACATGGCCCGAAGCCTTTATCATCTAATGAGTCATTCAAAGCCACTACTGAGTATTGACAACAAGCTGATATGATAAAACAGTTGCAAGCAACTATTGATTCTCTTCAGCAGGAACGTGATGAAACGAAACAGAAGCTAGAGAAGGTTGAAGACATGCAACAGAAGTTTGAAGAATCCTAGCAACGGATGATGCAACAACTTTTGCAGATGCAACTTCAAATGCAATGTGCTTTGGGTGGCACCTCAACTAATGCAGACATGCCACCTGAGTCGTAGTTTATGTGATCACTATTTCTCGTGATAGCATATAATACTGATTTTTGTTGTACCCTAACTTTGAATTCACTCCCTTCTTTGATTATGTTTGTCCTTGCAGCAAAATATGATGTTGCCATCTCAACAACATGCCATGGACTTGATTATATTGTTGTGGAAACACCTGCTGCATCACAAGCTTGCGTGGATTTACTTTGCAGTAAAAACCTTGGTGTTGCAACTTTCATGATTTCGGTAGATATTTCATAAAAAGTGATGCTTAACATGGTTGTTGTATATTTTATGTTCATATTTGTTACTACTAGTTGAAATGAAGTTTCCAACACCTAACTCAAAGAATTTGGCTTTGGGTGACAAATCAATTCAAGTGGGTAAAGTCAATAAAATTTACTCAGCCCTTGCTAACATATTATGCTTGTTGTTTCCAGAGTCTAGCCCTTGTGTCATTTTTCCTTCCACTTGAAATTATAATTGTCACTGTGTTGCACATAGTGGGTTTGATTTGCACAGGGACTTGCGCAGGTAACTATAGATATTGATTGAAAAAGAACACTTAATGGTGCCCTTTTTGAAAAAATCTGGTGCTATGAGTGATGGGGGAAGTAAGCCACGTGCTGGTAAGATGGGGACATCTATCCGAGCTTCCAGCATTTCTGAAGAGGCCATTGCTAGTGCTGAAAATGAGCTTTCTGTGATGATTGAAAAATTAAGTAATACACGCAAAAGAATTGCTGATGCTGTGCAACATTACCAGGCTACCGAAAAAGCAATTTCCCACATGGAGATGGAATTAGCAAATAGTCAAAAAGAGGTGACATTCTAGACTATATCGTTAACCACATCAATTAGTTCTATCTTAGTAGCGGAGAGTCTGATGCATTAAATTTCTTTATTTATGGCAGATTGACAGTTTGACCTCACAATATGGTGATCTTGACTAGTTTGACCAATTTACATATCGTTGGTGGCTCCTAAAAACTATGTCTGTTTATAGCATGCACGCATTATGTCTTCTTGTTTTGGCAAAAATTCCCTAATGTGCCTATGATCTCTATATTTTTAAGCTTTAGAGCTTCAGAGTATGATAGAAAATGTAGGCAGGGAAAGCCCAAAAGTTGAAGGTTAACAAGATTTAGTCGGTGAGTGTATTCTGAATATGAAATACACTAGGTACTACAAATAACAGTTCCACTTATGTATGGTGCCCACTTGTCAGGACATTGATAAAAGCAGCACAGAAGTCAACCGTTCCAAAGTTCAAATACAAATAGGTCATAATACAATCAAATAGAAACAAGTTATGGAGAAAGATAATTTACTCTCTACCTTCAAAGAGATCGAACAAAAGCCATTTACAGTTCAGGAGAACTATAAGAAAACATAGGAGGTTATATTTGTTCATTTATGTTCTTGACACCTATGATGTTGAACCAGTTGCGAGAGTTGCTTATGTGATCGATGCATTTTTTTTCTCTTCTGATTTTTGTAGTTAATCGATCAGGATAGAGCAAAGCATGACTATGAACAACTGAAAAAAACTGTTGATGAACTGCGGGCATCTGATCAGGTTGATGCTGACTACAATTTTCGGTTTCGATCTAATTACATTTATGTAAAATATTGTTGTTCAACTTCATCAGAATGTCGAGTTGGTAAAAGAGCTGAAACTACGAAAAAAAGAGTTGGAAGGAGCCGTGGGTGAATCCACCAAGGATTCTGATGTGTTTAAGAGGTAAAGCAATTCTTTGGTTTTCTCATTGTCCAGCATCTCAGTTACCATTAGCATGGTAATCAAGAAACACATGTTTCACAGAATTTGAAATACTATTTGATCTTTTCCCCCTTGTGTAATGGATTGTTAAAATAAATTATAATGAATTTTAATCTTTGATTTACATGTCATTATTGAACTTGGGGCTTTTTTAATGTCTCTTTGTGTTCAATTTTTGTTCTCATGTGAATTTTTTTAACTTGAATGTTAAAAGAGCTTAGGCAGGAAGCTCTTTGTCAGGTATATGAATTTTTTTTTCACGATTATCATGACAAGATGATGTTCCGCTGAATTGAATTTTGCAAGTTAGTGTTTGATTGGATTGGATTTAATGATACATATTCTTTTTGCATGTCCATTTCTGCTCATCTTTATTTATTGATACAGTTATTTAATAATTTACTAGTATATGGTTCTGCACTGTTAACAAATTTGCACAGTGCACTGTTAACTATTATGTTATTTGTGTTATGTATATGGTCCAGAGTGCCTCAGATAGCAGTAGTTGTTATAGATGTAGATGTTGCTGATGGTAAAGGATAAGCTACTACTTGTACCAGAAGCATTATAGGTGTAGATTTTACACTCACAAACAACTATGGGGACATTGGAACATAGAGACATACCAGATTGGAACATAGAGACAAATTTTATCATCCTATGTTGTTGGGCTTACTAATTAAATTATAATATCATTTTATCTTTATTCTTAGAAACGGTTTAAATCAGAGCATGATAGTCAGTTTTTGTTAAAAATCCTTTTTGCAAACTAGGGTCATCCTTAATCTTGATAGTTTGGTTGGACAATGATGAAATTTTTTCAGTATCCAATTTCATTTCATCTGCATATCTAAATTCCTTTCTTAAGATGCCATAAGTGTTTCTTTCGGTGATGTTCAGGGGATGCTGTTGTCAATGTTTACATAAACCATGAGAAGAAGTTTGCCTTTGTGGAGATGAGATCTGTTGAGGAGGCCAGTAATGCCATGGCCTTAGATGGAATTCTTTTTGAGGTATTTGGTTGTCTTCCTGAATCAATTAGGGTTGGAAGTTTGTGTGTCAGGTTTTGACTCTTATTTTTGTGGAAACAAAAAAGGAGCATATGCATTAGAGCAATGGTTATACAAGAACGGTTTTTCATCTACTGCCATACATGGTGACAAAAATACAGATGGTTAGCCATTTTTTCTTTCTTTTTCACTCTATATTGGCAATTTTGGACTGGGGCATGAAAATCATGCACGGATGTCATTTTTCTTCTTAGGGCGTTTATGTTCCTACAATAGTCAATATTAAAGTTAAAATTATAAAACTGTTATGTTATTTGAATAATCTCTTTTTTGACCTACGTTTATCAAAATTTATTTTCATAAACATAGTAAAATACTTAATAATTTGAACATCACAACAGCCATAGTCTCTGAGCATCCCTCGGCTTCATTCACCTCTTCTCAATAGCGGCTGGCGTACTGCCAGAGGCCCTCGCCCACCTTTCGCTTGAGTGTGAGAAGCACACTGACGTCCTTCAGCTTTTTGTCACTAGTGATGAACCAAGCCGTGAATTGTTCAATCATTTGCCTCATGACCAAATGCTATTCGGAGTGAGGCTCTCATACCACTTCATGACAGTATCTCCCAGGCTCATGAAGAATTCTTGGCATAACAATTTGAGGTCAGTGGTGTAGATTGACAATAGTTGTTTATACTGTCGAAGATGACTCTCTGGATCCGTTAGCCCATCCATCGTACACCTTGAAGAGGGGTACAGTAAACTTCTTTGGCATTCAAACTTCTCTTATCAGGAACTTTTGGGGTCTAATTAATATTCAAATTTCAGGACTAAATTTTTAATGGAAGATAATTTCTTTTTCTATCGTGTAATTGTTAAGGTCATAGCTTTTAAATGCTCCATAAGCACTTATGGAGTCTTTTTGTACTATTCTTTGGTGCCCTTCCTTTTAACAATCCGCTCTAAGTTGTGTCCAAAGCATCTCTCTCTATGATGATATAATCAACTTCAAGTGTAGGCTAAGCTTTGTTAGCTTTATAGTTGTCTCTTTTATCTTTATAATTCTTTGGATATATTTTTTTATCTTGAATTTCATTGATCCTTCTTTGGAATACTTGATGTGCATTCTTTAATCCAAAACACATAACTATGACATTCGTATTGTCCTTGTGGAGTGCTAAAGGTTTTATTATAATACAATACACTGTCATGCAAGGTCCTGGATGCTCTATTGTTATTATTTGTAGAGTCGATTGCAAGGGAGAAGCAAGTTGGTTTCTTTGTTGTTGCTATGGAGGAGAAAACTATCGTGGCCAATTAATTGAGTCTTGAACCTTAGAAAACTATGCTGCAGGATTCTCTTCCACCTGATTTATTGCTGCAGTTTCCTTAGTTGACTTCGGCAGTCTTTGGGAATTGCAGTTGCATCATCAGCTGGACTCTTCCAGCTTGACTATCAGGAAGCTTTCTCTTTATTTGGCCCGTAAACACAATGCAACAGTTTTTGGTCTGAAGTGCACTGTTCATGTGCTTTTTCAGCTGCTGTTGCAATTTGATTCCTTCATCAGCTGGACCCCTTCGGCAGTTATGATTTTTCATTTGTTTTTCAAATTCAGCAGCTCTTAGGTAGATTTTCTCAACTGGAGTCTGCTACTACAGTTGGAGCTTCCTATTTCAGCTGGAATCTTTCTACAACTAGACTCTTACTTTAGCTGGACTTCTGTTTCAGTTGTACTTTATATTTACAAATCAATTTGCTAAAAACCAGCTTCATGGTGAGGTAATAGAGCACTTTCATAGTTGTTTGACTTAATTTTCCTTTTACTATAGGAGCCTCACTTACTGCAACGTGGTTTTGGAGATATTTTTTGCATATCCACTCATTATGGTGAATCACCTTTGAGCTATAAACATGCTAAGGTTTTGCCTCAATTAGAGTATTTGCATATATTGTTTGCATATGGACTTAAAATATCTTTCTTTGGTAGGCTTCCCCTGTTGGCTAAACAGTCTTGTGTGCAAGTTTTACATGTGTCCTACTAGAATATTTGATTGCTAGGCAGTATTTGCATATATTGATGCCTATGGACTTAAAACGCTTGTATCTCTTGACCTGGGAAACAACTTTTTTTTGGGTAAGCTATTGTGAATTAATTAACCCAATGCTGGAAATCCATGGAGCAATTTAGAAATAAGTGATTTCTAGAATATTTGATTGCTAGGCAGTGATGCATTTTTTTTTCTTTCTCTTCTTAATGAATTAAATATTCCGTGCGACACTCTTACCATGTTGCTTGTGTTCTATAAAATTCATTTATCCCAATTGCTGCACAAACAGGAAGCTTTTCTGTTAAACTAAATGGAAGTTGCACTTTTTTCACCCCAACTCTTTCTTGGCCCATATTTTTGTATATTCATTCTTATATTATATTCCTTTTACCACCATTATCTTGACATATTTGATTTCCTTCTGAGCAGAAAAAACTTATATGATGTGTGTTTCTTTGAACTCTACAGACATTGGTTCAATATCAGTTGCCAATGGTGATTATAGTGTTTAACAATAGTGGTGTATATGGTGGTGACTGGAGGAACCCTGAAGAAATTACAGGACCTTACAAGGATGATCCTGCACCGACTTCTTTTGTCCCTGGTGCTGGATATCATCTTCTAATTGAAGCTTTTGGGGGAGGAGTTATCTTGTTGGGACACCTGATGAACTCAAATCGGCGCTTTCTGAAGCTTTTTCTACACGAAAGACTGATGTCATAAACATTACAATTGATCCATATGCTGGTGCAGAAAGTGGGAGGATGCAGCATAAAAATTGAGGCAAGCTGTAGCAACTTTAATTTTTGGTTGCTTATGCTTCTTTGTTTGAGTGTGTACTCTGTTTGCTTTTTCTGGATGTTGTCTTTTGTGACGCCTTTTGGTTGGGTGAATCTAAACCTGTATTATCATGTGTAATTTATAAAGCTATAGTTATGGTTGTTGCTAGCATGTAGACAAGACACACACTCATAACCAATACCTTTTGTTTTTCAACTTTTGCTTATTTTAGCAGTTTGGTTGGTGAATGGAAATTGAAAGTTCTGCATCAAAATGGAGATTGAGGCGTTTGTCATATTTTTTTTTTGTGGCAGAGTTAGTTGTTAATAACCTTCCTGTGCACCTTAACATCTGCAATTACATGTTTTTTAGTTTATAATCTGAAATTACACGTTGAGATTGCTTCAATAGCAGCCTAAATAAGTGCGTGCATAACTAGCGATGAGTATGTGGATTAGTATTATTCCTCTCTTTTTCTCTCTCTCTGTGTTTCACTCCCCCCCCCCCCAAAAAAAAACACACACCCCCCTGAATGCACAAAAGAATCTTTGATCTTTATATATGTAAATTGATTTGAAGTAAGCTTCTTAATTGGATGAGTTTATGAGCTATGGTATGTGGGATTGAGTATTTTTGCTAAGTGTCAGTGTGTTTCTAGGTTTCAGTACATTTGTTACTAATTATAGAGAGCTTCTTTAAATCATCCAGTGAGATGAGATATGGTGATTTTTTGTTAAATTTTTTTGTGCTGAGTTTCCATTTGTTTATTTTATCATTTTGTAGCCTATCCCTAATCAGAAAATCCACTGGAGATCTATGGAAGGTCTCCCTAACAGGTAAAAAATTGTTTGATAGATACACATAACATGAATAAACAAGGACAAACTGGTTGTGTTAACTGCTTAACTTTGTTAGGATCAGTTGTTGTATTAGATAGGCTTTTTTTAGGCATAACTCCCTCAGCCTTTTAATTGGTTATAGCAGCTGGAACAGTCACTGTTCACGTGACTGTTCAGCTATTGCAACAGTCCGATTCAGCTCACCATTGGAACCTCCTACCTACTGCTTTCATCTTTTTCGGTGTAGTTAGGCAAGCAAGTATTTTTCGGTGCAATCCATGAAACATTAGGTTTTAAAATAGAGACATAACTTATTATTTTAGGGCCTTGAATGATATCTATTACTGTCGAACAAAGGTCATGTATATTTTAATTCCATTTCTAAATGTAATTGATTCATCAAAACAAATAAGCAACTTATTTAGCACAAGCACATAACTTGTTAGAAAAAAGAAAGCTAGTACAAACATCCATGGTGATGATGGCAGAGCACCGCAATGTTGAATTTGAATAACCATAATCTATTAAGGAGCCATAGTCACACAATATTTACATTGGTATGTGAGTAAACTTTATGTTCTGATTTTTATCATTCATGATTAATACTAGTACTTGAGCAGGAGCTATTTGAGTAGGTTTATTTGGCTTTGCCTATTTGAAGGATTAAAGCCAACTTTGCTAGGTGGATAATACTTCTGAGATGGTGTATTTGAATGCATTGGTGTATTCTGCCTGCACTGGTTTGTAGGCTGTATTCTGGTTGAGCAGAAAGAAGTGGATGGCTGTATTCTGGTTGTGGACAAAAATCATTTTTTCTATTTTTAGAATTTCTTGTAATTTGATTATTGTAATTCATTCTTTTTGGAAATGAAATTTTATTTGTTTAAAAAAAGATGTGCAATGTATTAATTGTGTTGGTTTTTTATTGAACACAACCATTACTGGTGTACAGGTGAAAAATTTTATTGGAATATCATTTTTGATGTAAAATAAAAAAAAAATGAATTTTTTTGTGACAAAATAAATATCGTCGCAAAAAATTGCAAGAACAAGCTTTCTTGCGACAATAATTTTACGTCACGAAAAGCTAATTAAATTATTATTTTAAACATTTTTTATTTATGAAACAATTATTCGCGACGATTTTTTTACGTCGCTAAAAGTTAATTCAATTATTATTTTTTACATTTTTGATTTATGAAAAAAATTATTCACGACGATTTGTTTACGTCACGAAAAATGAATTAAATTATTATTGTTAACATTTTTTATTTATGTAAAAAATTATGCGCGACGATACTGTTTATGTCGTGAAAAGTTAATTAAATTATTATTTTTTAAATTTTTTATTTATTTAAAAAATTATTTGCTACGAATTTTTTACGTCGCAAAAACGTTAATTAAATTATTATTTTTTACTTTCTTATGCTCGAGGAATGGATATTAGCTAGGTTTTTGTTACTTTTCGCGACGTTTTTTTTTTCGTCGCGAATAATGTTTGTTTGTGACGAAATTTTTTTTTTTTCGTAAAATGCTTTCTGCGACGAGGATATTGTGATGAACACATGACGAAAAAAAAAAGTTGCAAAAAATAATTGGCGACGATTTTTTTAATTTAGCGACGAAAAAAATTGTCCCAAAAAATGATTTTTGTTGTAGTGGAGGCCTTTGAGAAGTTAGGTATTGTCAAGGAGAAGCTTGAGCCAATAAAAACATACCTGCTCAAGTTTTTCAACGAAAAGGTCTTTCCCTTGGGCTCAATTCAACTTGTACTCACTATGGGGGAACCCTCCATGTCAAACCACTGCAATCGTGAAATTCCTCATCATGGATGCACCTTCTACCTACAACGTTATCCTAGGGAGACCATCCCTAATCTCAATAAAGGCCATTCCCTCCACCTACCATCTTGTGATGAAGTTTCCAACTAAAAATGAGATAGAAGTTGTAAGAGGGGATCAGTGGATGGCTATGGAGTGCTACATGTCATCTATAAAGTAGAAGGAGATTGAATTTATACATGTAGACGATCTGGACAAAAAAAGACAAGATGGATACAATACCAACTCCCTCAGAAGCACTAGAACCCATACAAGTGCACGAGGACACATAAAACCTAATCTTTGTGGGATCCAAACTATTGGATGAAGTCAAACAAAAGCTCATAGCATTTTTAAGAAGCCGAGTCGTTAGAGTCGTATCTGAGTGAATCCCGATTCGCCGAAATAACGTTATTGAATTGAGAAATACAGTTCCACGATGTCGCTATATGACCTAAATTTCTTGTCATTATCAACATTTTATTTTAGGTTGTATTGTCCGATTCCACGCCGCGATCGATGTGTCTCAGAGCTGATGGCTGATACCGCAACCTTAAACCATGTGTGCAAGGGATCGACCTCAAGGTGATCATCTGCAAGCTTAGTGTGGACCTAAGTGATTCCCTATTAAAAAAGTACCTTTCATCATGCATTTGTGGGGATAATTACACCATAATTGTGTTTAAATAGCATAATCTAATGGTAAATAATGTGTAGGGGTTATACAAGCATGATGTCATGTATCCAGGAATTAAAACGAAGACTTAGAGACAGTGGGACCAAGCATTGATAGAGGAAAGAGTGGACTTTGGGTCCATGTTTGAACACCAATTCACATTTAAACACAACTACAAAATCAGACAAAATCCCCAAAAATGGCTGCTAAGCTGTAGGAGCATAAATGTTGGAACATAGGAGTATCAAGGCTACAATTATTTCCACGTTTGAAAGCCAGGTTCACATTCAAATGCAAACACAAATCAAAAAGTCTCCATGCCTATACTTTCAGCTAGACTGTTGAGCTCCATGCTTGGACTTTCAAGGCTAATCATTGTCCTTTCCCCTTGGCCTATAAATACTACCCTTTCCTTCACTTAGAGGAGTGAACCTCTCTCACCTTTCTAGCTCTCCTATGACTTTGAAGGGTGGGTAGTGTTTCACTCATTCTTTGTTGAAGAAAAGTATTTTGCTTCTCGTAATTCTAAGTTCCTCTACTTAGAGGGGTGAGATTCACTCACTTTTCTAACTTCCTCAAAGTCATGAAGAATGAGTAGTTTCTCATTCACTTCAGCAAGAGATGATGAATAAGTAAATTATTCTTATGATCCACTACAAAGATATCGGAGCTATACTCTTAATTTACAAATTCAATCTATACCCTCAAATTGTAAATTTAAGGATATGAACATGTAAATTATTGACGCAGGAGTTAATTGAGTAATAATCATTGCACAAATATAGCACCTAAACACATATGGACATGTCCGGATCCTCGAACTAAAGAATGACTCTTATTTCCATTTGAGAGAATATTATATTTTGTCTAAAAAATATCATCATCACCACAACTTTCAAACTTCAATGATTTCATTTATCGTTGTCTCTATTGATCATAACTTCAAACAACAACATAAGTTCCCTATGGATTTGACTCCGAAATCAACTGGATTATATCGACAACTTGACCGCTTGCATTTGGGTATAAACATTTTAGATCAAGCCAAATTTCTGGCTCCGTTGCCAGGGAACCAATGGTATTTTGAAGTAAAAAGTGAAGAGACATTATATTCTTTGTATGTACTTTTATTTTTCTACCTTTTTATGTGTGAGGAAGACCCTCTCTTTCAAGATTTGCTAGAAGAATCTGTCGGGTATGTGAATCAATCTGAACCTTCTTCACCTCAATCAGTCACAAACTCCTTTGATTATAGTCTGGCCAATAATTAGAGAAAAGATGAAATTCCTAATGTATGAAATTTAAGGGAGTATTTACATCATACCTCTTGTTTTGTGTTTCCAGCAAATGCACAGAACTTCAATGTGAAGCCTGGTCTGGTGTAGTTATTACCTCAATTTCATGGACTCAAATAAAAAAAAAATCATATTTACATATTAAAGAATTCGAGGAGGTATGTGGGACGTTCCAAGATAATTCTGAACTGGCCAAGTTGAAACTTTTTCCTTTATTTTTAAAGGATAATGCTAAACAATGGCTAAATTCTTTAAAAGCCCACTCCATACCAAATGGGCAAGCGTTACAAATCGAGTTTTCTCAAGAAGTTTT